ATAAATACTCAGACATAACTTCTGATCATCCTGAAATAATCACAACTGAATAGGGGAGGAATTAATTCCAGTAATGAGCCAAGAACTACTTTTGAGTGGATGATCTTTGCAACCTGGTCCTAAGGCAATGCATGGTTTTCAGTGAGGCCTCAGAAATACTGAGTACACAACCAAGTCTTAGAGCCAAGTCCTTCCTAATTATGGAGAGCACTCTGTTATACCTGAAGAAAGCTACACAGATGTCAAAAATGGGTTAACCAGTGAGATCATCCTTTCATAATTATACCTAGGAGCCTGCTGGGAAAGAAGATCCAAGTGAAATCAGTAGCTGAGTTCCTCAAGTAATATGCATTAATTTGGGGTAGAGAAGTAAATAAGACAACACTGGGTTGAGAGCAGAAAAGATGAAAGAGATCGTTTTCCATTTTTCTTGCTTTATTAGAGTGAGATTTGACTCTTTTCTGCAGTAGTTTTACTTCTCATACCCCCAAAATCAGGAAGAAGAGCCTCAAGAAACCTGGATGACCAGGAGAGGACCGTGTAGAATGAGTCTCTTTTCCTACCCTGTTCCTTGGGAAGAAAGGCACTTCTGAGTTAGCATCTATGCTCCCAACAAGAGTAACATCATGAGGTAATGCCTTCTTCCCACTCAGATGGGATAACATAGCAAACTGCCAAGTACATATGGCAAAAGTAAAGAGAGAAAGAAGTGCTCTGGGGATGAACATAGATAAGCTGGACCTTGGGTGTGGGGAGGGTCACCTGCAAATGAGGGTAGACCCCAAAGAAGAGGGACATCCTGACGACTTTCTGCACACTGGCTGGCATAGGGTCCATGCATCTCTGCCTCCCTTGCCTTCCACACCTATGAGTATTTCCAGTAAGACTGTGCTCAGGAATAGCTGTGCCCTCACCATCACTCCTGAGCTCTTGCTTGGGAATCTGTGTGGGAAAATTCTGCAAGTTTGGGCTAGAAAAAGGAGAGGGTCGGCCGGCGCTGCGGCTCACTAGGCTAATCCTCCGCCTTGCGGCGCCGGCACACCGGGTTCTAGTCCCGGTCGGGGCGCCGGATTCTGTCCCGGTTGCCCCTCTTCCAGGCCAGCCCTCTGCTGTGGCCAGGGAGTGCAGTGGAGGATGGCCCAAGTGCTTGGGCCCTGCACCCCATGGGAGACCAGGAAAAGCACCTGGCTCCTGGCTCCTGCCATCGGATCAGCGCGGTGCGCCGGCCGCAGCACGCCGGCCGCGGCGGCCATTGGAGGGTGAACCAACGGCAAAGGAAGACCTTTCTCTCTCTCTCTCTCTCTCTCACTGTCCACTCTGCCTGTCAAAAAATAAAAAAAAAAAAAAAGAAAAAGGAGAGGGTTTCCTTTCCTCTGAAAATGCAAGTGTGGTGATTTGTTCAAAGGGTTCTTATAAGGGGATTTTCTTGTCTTGTCAACCATAGGTCACACTGTGGAGATGAATTCTTCCATGCTATGCAAGAGGCCTTTTGTAACTTAGTCTTTTACTCCAACAGTTGGAGTTCCATTGAGGCAATTCAGCCTGATGCTTCCTGAGGTCTTTGCATCACCAACCTGGGCTAGTGCTAGCAATGCCAGAAAGAACCCAGCTTCTACTCCACACCCTGGGTCAAGAACTGGCCAAGCTAAACAGCGCTTGCCCTAGAGCTCATAGTGCAGGTGGGGACACTGGCTCAACAGGCCACATGGTTCAGTAAGGGCTGAAGTAAGGTTTTATAAAAGGTGTATTAGGTCAGAGTGGGATGAAGACATAAAGGAATACGTCTCTCTGGTATTGGGGGGCAGTGGCAGATGTCTGGATGATTCAATAGAGGTGATAATCTATTATGTGCATATGGAAAGACATGTATTAGGTAGGCAGAAAAAGAGTGAGTATTTCAGATGGAGTCAAGACATCAAGGAGATGTTAATAATTAATGACCAGTCTACCTGTCACCAGCAGTCATAGAGTCCACCCAATGGTTGACGTAAGAGAAGCCAGTGTAAGCAAGATCACATAGGACTGGTAATACTAAGAAAGGAGTGCAAATGGTATTCTCAGGACAGCTGAGAGCCACTGGTGGTTTCAGCAGAAGAGTATGGTCAGGGGACTCCATCTGTAACTGAAAGGGATGTGTCTGGCAATCAGGAGAACAATTAAAAGTGTATTGTGGGTCCAGATAAAAGGTAGTGTGGGTTGGGACCCAAGGGGTAGCTGAGAAGTTGGAGAGGAGGGGATGGGCAATAGAGATACAAGATAGATGAGATGGAAATAAGAGGACTGCTTTAGCATGGACCAGGAGATGAGAGGCAGCTGATAGTCACTTGAGATTTTGAGCTTGGGAGGCAAATCAAGGAAGTGATGTGGAGGCAGACTTAGAGAAGACATCAAGAGGTCACCATTGTAGTTCCCACCTGTCTTCATACTTGTCTTCCTTGACGTCTTTCTGTTTCCACAACATCTCCCTCATAGGACTGCAGCCTACGTGAGGGGTTCTTAGCATTGGTATTTCTATAACTGATTATGTCAAGTTGGAGCAACTGCCAGATTTTATACAGTGTGTTTCCCAGCTTCACCCAGTCCATGAGCTTAAACCCTTTCAGAATGATTTCCAAGACTACCCAACAATCTGATTTTTTTTCTCCATTGCATGTATGATTTCCTGAAACTCTATCATATACTCATTTTTTTCTTAATTTATCTGTCTGCTTCTTTTAGCCAATTTAAGTCTCCTTGGGATAACATTGACCCTATCTCCCTGGTTGGTGCTATAATCAGCAGCAACCTTATCTTCCGTGTCTAGAAGAGTGCCTGGTATAAAATGAGTAAACATGTATTGATGGATAAGTGTGTGAATGAATGAATAAATGGGTGAATGGATGAATGAATGAACATGATCAGCACCATTGCAGAAACCTGAAAACATGCAATTAACTGCTAAACCCTTAGCATGGAAGGCATCCCAGAGTAGACAGACAGCACTGAATCAGGAAGGCTCAGGATTTTCCATCAAAATCCTGAAACAGCATAAACAAAAGCTTCCAGTTGTGACAGTATTTGTGAAACAAACTGCGATCATCAATCTTGCTCCCAGTCACCCTACCTGATGCTGCTGAACCTCTATGCTTGCCCTAGGACTGCGTGGAAAAGAAGAATCACCCAAAATTTATGATTCTCTGTAATTCTCTTCAGTCTCCCAGAAGTATAGGTCCAGATCTGATTTGCATATAAATGGTCATAATTTTTTAATCATAGATAAATGCCATTCTGTTTGCTTGTCCTTGTGCCTCCCTTGATGGAGAAACAAGAGTGACTTACGATTCACGAGTCACAGCAATTAAAACACATATACATACAGCTCTTCCTTTCTTCCTGAGTTCTCTCTCCTTCTCTCGCCCCTGAATAACAGAAAATGGCATCTTTGTGGAGATGCAATGGTCAGAAATAAGGACTCTGGATTCATATCTCTTCTTAAATCCTAGGTCTTTCAACCACTTCCTGTGCAATTTTGAACAAATAACTTTATCTCTCTATCCCTAATTCATCATCTGGAATATAGGTAAAAATAAAAAATAATATGTCTCTTGCAAGGATTAAAAGAACTAATGCATCTGAAATACTAACATGAAATGAGCCCTCAAATAAGAGTTAGTAATACTATTGCTTCATCATTATCTGATTGGGTGAAAATATAGAGATGACTCAGTTCAAATCAGAAAGAGAAATGCAAGGTCTCACTTGCATCAGAAAGGAGAGAGAGAAAGGAAGCAGCCCTTTTGGAATTTTGATGCAGATACAACCTTGATGGTGCTCATATTGAAAAAGTACATACTTCACACTAGAGAAATCTTTATTTGGTGCTTGAATCTCACTAACATTTGGCATTAAGAATTAAGACACACGATTTTAAGACATTAAGAACTAGACCAGCACAGGAGAATTCAGTCACCAGTGGACAGAGATCTATTTCATGCTTGTTTCAGAGACAGCCATGTTGGTTTCTATTTCAACTCTACTGCTTCTGAGATACTATGTGGAGCAGAGAGGTGAGGTGCAGGTGGGGGTGGAATGAACACTTAATGAGTCCCTCCTGCTGATGTTTTTCTTTCTTTATCTTATCTCATTTCCACACTGCCCTATGAGGCAAGATTTATTATCCCAATTTGCAAATGAGGAATATGAAGCTTAACAAGGTTAAGTAATTTGCTCACAGTTGATAAGGGAGAACCTAGAGTTAAAGCTAGGCTGCCGAAATGCATTCATTTGTAACAGGTTTCCTATTTTTATGGAGATTGAAGGTGTAGGATTGTTTGGTAGCCCCAGTGCATGGACATCTTTTGACAGAAATTATTTCCTAGAATCATGTGTTTAATTATCAGCGTTCTGTAGGCCCTCTAGTACCATGAACTCAGCATGTCCAAAATGAAGCCAAATATTTCTCCGCTCCCCCATTCTCACTCGCCCTATTATTACATATCTGCTTCTTTTATATTTCTTTACAAATCATTCTCTGCCACTGTGAGTCACTATAGGATCTTCCCTGCACTCACCTCCTAGTATTCCCTAAGTCAGGAAAGCTTGTCTACTCTGCCTTTGAAGGTACGTTAAATCTACCCAGGCTCAACTGCACCAGTAAGTTATATCATTTCTCGGGGCCTGTGCTGAGGCATAGCAGGTAAAGCTGTCTCCTGCAGTGTCAGTATCCTATGTGGGCACCAGTTCGAGTCCTGGCTGCTCCACTTCCAATTCAGCTCACTGCTATGGCCTGGGAAAGCAGTAGAAGATGGCCCAAGTCCTTGGGCCCCTGCATCCATGTTGGATACCCGGAAGAAGCTCCTGGCTTCGGATCAGCTCAGCTCTGGTCATTTCGGCCATCTGGGGAGTGACCCAGGAGATGGAAGACCTGTCTCTCTCTCTCTCTCTCTCTCTCTCTCTCTCTCTTTCTGCCTCTGTGCCTTTCAAAAAATAAATAAATCTTTAAAAAATATATCATTTCTCACCTGAAGCAAGTAGCTTCAATCTTCCTCTCCGGCATCTTTGTCCTTGATATGCATCTCTCTGGTCCATCTTTTTTGTGCTCTCATGACTGCTATTAAGAAAACAACACTAATTATGCCACCATCCTGCTCTAAAATGCTTAGGACTCCCCCCCTGCAAACATGTTAAAGATAGAACATCTTAGTAAGGCATCTACAATATAACTCAACAATATGCTCTCACCTCCCCCCAACCCTGATGGACATTCCTAACTGTTCTTCTCTACTGTCTTTCCCACTTCGGAAAAGGCCCACTTCACTGGCTTGTTGTTGACTGTTTAACCTTTAAAGCCTACAGTGAATGTTGAGCTTGCCGCACCCAACTTCCCAAGACAAATGCAGCTCCCTTCTTGGCACTGTAGCCCTACCATCATCATTGGCTTTGCACCATGATTATTTTTACACACATTTGCTTTCCTCACTGTAAAATAGCTTCTCAGAGGTAAACATGCTTTCTTGTTCTTAGTTGTCTCTTTGCACCTACTCTGAGAATTTCTAGACAGGGAAAATCATAATGCAAATACTATTTTGCATGTTAACATTAAACATATCATAAACATACTCTACCAAGGTTTGCAGTCTTCCTAATTATTCTTTTAATTGCTGCATAATATTTCTTCCTGTTGATGTTCCATAATTACTTAAACATTCAAGCAAGTCATTAAATTCAACAAACATTCTCTTGCATCTAGCTGAGTACCTGTTACATGTAGGTACTTGGGAAATGTGGCTTCTCCCCACAAAGACCTTCCATTCTAGCACGGACATCACATGGTGGATAGAGATATGTCATCAATGGGCTGGGAACATGGGATAAGAAGGAATTTTATTTTTCTTGAACAGGTTGAGGAAAGCAAAGCCAAAGGTAATATTTTGAGTTTTAAAACTTGAATTGGAATCTAAAATAAATGGGAGGGTGGGAAAGAAAAGATATTGGGAGAATAATATAAATGACTAAGTTCTCACAGTCTGTAAGGGGCAGGGCCAGGATTTCAACATAAGCGGTGGATTCTAAAACCCCAGTGTCATCTGTTTTCTGCTGGTGAACTCTTACTCAACTAACAGTGCTTGGCTTTAGCCAGCTCCACACTCTATTCATCTCAGTTCTCTTTTTATTCAGCCCCTTATGTATTTCACAGAGCTTGGTCATGTTAGCAAATAATGAAATCTGATAATGAGGGCTTTGCAAAGTCTGATTTTCTTCTGTTTTAGTTTTATTAAATGAGCTTACTAACACGATGCATTCTCATCCTTTGTTCCTGCTTTCTAGATGAAATGCCATGTTACCCAAGACCATTCTAAAGCAAATTTCTGGTACATCTTAGATTCTCAACAGATATTAACTAAATAAGTGATCAACCAAGACTGAATGCATGAGTCTGGCTGGGTGGAAAGTAGAGAATTAGTAAAAAGCGTGAGACAGTGGCAGGTGATGTTACCACATATGCAACTACAAAAACAAAGCACTCAAATGTGTGTCTTAGCATCTGTCAGAGGTGTTCTTGCTTACAGAATTAGCATAGTCAACTGTACTAAGGGCTATGAAATCAACCCTACACTATGACTTGCTACCTAAGCTAAGGAACCCATTCAAAAAGGGGGAAATGACAGATATTGTGTGTGCACCATTTTCTATATTATTAAAAGTCTGGAAACAATCTAAAATGTTCACCAATAGGGAGTGGTTAAATAAATTACAATATGTGAACTGGAAGGAGTATTATGAAGTCATTAAAATGGTAATTAGAAAGATTATGTAGCCACATGGAAAAAACATTTACTATATAATATTAAGTGGGGGAAAAAAGCAGAATACAAAATTGAATCTAGGCCATCACTGCAATTATGTAAAAATGTGTGCCCATGAATCAAGACACCAGGGGAAGAGGCGTGCATGTGACCAGCTGTGCTCAACTGGTGCGTTTTGCTTTTTAAAGTGTCCTTTAATTCTACGTGAGCTCTGTAGCCTGGCCTACACGCTCTGATCTCTAGGGGGAGCTCAAGGCTTCCCCACCTCAGCCTCTACTGTCTACCCCTCCGAAGCCAGAGGAGGTCTCCTACAAGGGCCGGGGGACACAGCAAGAGGCCAGGCAAGGGCTGGGCTCCTAATGAACACCTTGAAGAGATCATGGACACAACTGAACTGGGGCAAATCTTCCCTGAGTTTTGTTTTGTTTTGTTTTTCTTTCTCTTGGTCTTTTCTGTTCACAGTTCTTGATTCCTCTTTTGGAATGATTTGCTTTCTTGACTTTTTCCCCTTCCAGACATGCACATATTTCTCTTGCTTCTGTCTTTTGGCCAGTACATTAAGAAGTATGTCGACAGTCTTTCATCTGAGAAGCAAGTTATAGTCCACAGCCCCTTAGTTAAAAAGTACATTATTATTCTGCAAATATATTTGCACAAGCAGGAAAGATGCATGTTTGTCATCCTCAAATTTCTTTCAAAACAAGTTGTCATCCATCTGAACAATTAAATACTAGGAAGCTAATTTTTGAAAATAAAATATACATATGAGTTAATAAAGAAAGTTCTTCAAAATGCAAAGTTCAATGATCGGGAGGGTGGGATAGAGCAAGATGCAAAATGGCTTCTGCATGTGTCTGTATAAATTAGCCAATACATCTTGAAGCAAAACATTTGTGTGTATATGCTGGAGTGCATAGGGACTGAACAGGTAAGGAAAGGATCCTAACATTTACCTTAGAGGAACAGAAATGGGGAGAAAGCAGATACTTTTAGTCCATAAGTTTTATATTCTTTTATATATTTGCCATTTGCATGTACTAGATGTGATTTATTTTTTAAGAGGAATTAGGGTATCACCTAAGGGTAAAGAGGGAGAGGATATATCACTTAAAATTATAAGATTCTATGTCTATATTATGATTTATATTAAGTAATTCTCACACCCTTCAAATATATTCAAGTGTAGCTCCCTATATTAAGAAAGCAAATAGAGGTTTGGGTCCAAATTTAGAACTCACACCTACTACTACTATGACTGTGGCTACTACTAAAGACATTAAAAATGTAATAGCAATAAATAGATTTAAGACAATAAATCCATTCATTAATAATATAATAAATTAAATAAAATCAAAAGAAAATGAAAGCAAACATTTAAAGTCTAAGATTTAAATTTTTTTAATTAGGAAAGGAGAAATTTTACAATTCCATTTTAACCAAATTACCTTCTGAACAAGGCAAAGGAAATGGAAAGTTCACTTAAAACAGGATAGGGCTGGACCCTGCTTGTGGTTTCAAATTGTCTTCCTAATAAACTGTGACCCATTACAAATGGGATTTAGCTGGCTTTGTGCTTTGAAATATTTTTTTCCTCTCCAATGTCTGTCCCTCTCTCCTTAGATTCTGAGCACCTTTTTGATTTTGTTCTCTGCGAGATATTAAAGTCTAACAATATTGTTGTTTTTGAAAATTGCTTCTGGGCAGAGGAGGACAGACTACAGAAGCCAGATAGGAGTAAGTGCAGTCTCACACCCTATTGCCTTCATACCCCACCCCTCATAGCCACCTGAAAGACCAGTTGCTCTGAACACCTGAAAGACCAGTTCCAGGAATTCCCCTCTGCCCTCTGCCCACTACTCCCACCCCTAGCCCTAGCCCTCCTTAAAAAAGCCTGGTCTCTGGGGGGTCAGAGCCTTCTGCCACGTGTTCCACCAATGTGCACACGGGCAGTTGGTCACCCACCTCTACGGATTTATTTTCTCTGAATAAATTCAGTCTGGCTGTAAATTCATACATTGCCTCCTCTCTGTTCTGCACCTCTTTTTCTAACATTTTGGTGTCCCGTGTGAGGAGGCACCAATCTGCAACTCTTTTCCTAACACACTCCATGGAGGATCAAAATCCTATTAGAGCAGAACTCCATCATTACAAGAGGATGGAAATGTGAAAACCCCTAGCCCACCAGGGACACCTTGCTGAGGCAGCCCCAGACTAAAAGCAGTCCTGTCTTGCGTCAGTTCCTCCACTACCTGTGTGGCCCAGCAGTTGCTCCTCAATTCCCAGGAGAAGAAGGTGGCATAGAACCAGAGCTAATCCTGGGCTTTCATTCCTTTATTGCTCTCAGATTCCTTCCCTGCCCAGGGCTGGGACAGAGTTTACAGGGATGGAACACAGAGTGGAAGTCAACGTAAAACTCAGTCTGATCATCCAAACACCAACACGACTTGCTGGTTCCCAGGGTTCACTCCAGAGACTCATTAGAATTGTTCTGTGAGAGTGAATGATAGCTGATATCCACTTGGTCAAAAACAAAGTTGGTTCTAGCACCATTTTTCAGTGCATATCTCTTGTTTCGAATTCAGGCCATCTCTTACCATAAAAACACTCTCATAAAGCGATGGTTAGGAGCCCATATAATTTAAAAGAACCCATCACGTTATCATATACTATAAATGCACAGCTGTGTGCAAAGTGCAAGCCTGTCTTCAGATGTGTGCAAAGTGTCAACCAGTCAGCTGGGGATGCTCTCATGAGCAGTATGACCTAGAACTAAAAAAAAATAAAAAGGGTTGGGGTTTGTGTGTGTGTGTGAGTGGGTGGGGGGGTAACATTGGCTCTGTGAGACCACTAAGGCGATTAAATCAGCTGAGGTGTGGTAAAGTGCCTGACCCAGTGTTAGGTACACAGAATATGACACTCTCTATGGCCACATCACCCAAGGATCCCCAAGACACCAGAAGTTCAGAAATCACCTTCACTCCAGCCACTTGAGAGCTTCTGAAATCACTACCAAAAAAATCAGCAATAAGCAAAAACTTTCCGTTTTCCCTGAGTAGTGTCATGTAAGTCCCTGGTGTTGACTGACTTGACCCTGAACTCACTTCACACAAGAGCCTGCAAGTCAACATTTAGAAAACGAATAACCTCCTGCTAACTTGTTTAGGAAAGGAAGTCCATATGCCTTCACATAAATATATTGTGATTAATTATTATATTTCCTTTTCCATCATTTGGCAACTCTCTAGCTAAAAGACTGTGTTCTTTCATATCACTTACTTCTAAATGTTGGGTAGAATTCTTGTTC